GAAGCGCCGCCGCCTCCGTAGGTAGCGAGCCTCCCGCCCATCCGCGGACAGGGACCGGCGCTCCCGGGTTCTGGGGTCCCGGCACCGGGTGGTTTTGGGGGTCAGTCCTGCCCGATCGCGCTAAGAGGGGCACGTGGGGTGTTGTGTTTTTGGAAACGCAGAGGAGCGAGCAGTGAGTTCCGCGTGGGAAGTTGTGGGGGGCAGGCGGGGCCAAGGGGGGCTTGGGGTCCGCTCGGCTCTGACGTGAGTTGGTATCAGGGGAGGAGGAGGTGAGAGTGAGGACGCCCGCTGAGCGCGCCGAGCGAGCTAATCCAATTGTATAAACATAACTGGCCACTCAGCACACCCTAGAATGGTTACTTTTTTAAAAAAATTGTCTAGCAGCGGTTCTCAACCTGTGGGTCGCGACCCCTTTGGCTCAGTGGAAAGCGCGTCGGCCTGGGGACTGGAGGGTCCCGGGTTCGACTGCGGGCAAGGGCAGGTACCTCGGTTGCAGGCTCGATCCCCAGCCCTGGTTGGGGCCTGTGTGAAGGCAGTCCATCCATGTCTCTCTCACATCAGTGTTTCTCTCTGTCTCTCCCCCTCCCTTCCACTCTCCCTAAAAACCAATGGGAAGATAGTCTCGGGTGAGGATTAAACAAACAAATAAATGAAAGGGCCCGTGGTTCTCTCTCTCCCTCTGAAGAGCGGCAGGGGGCGGAGACCGGTCCCCCGTGTGGTCAGCTGGGAGAGAAGAACACATGGGCTCCGGGGGCCGTGTGAGGGGAGCTCCTGGGACTGACCCAGGGCAAGTGTCGGGGCCACTCTGCGGCCAAGGGGGACCCCTGTGGCCCCCCTGTCCTGATGACACCCCCTGACTGAGACCCCTCCTGGTGCTGTTCCCACAGAGCTGCCTGGCCTGTAGCCCTTCGCCCCGGCCGAGGAGATGACCAACCAGGTAAGGCTGTGGAGGGAGGCGCAGCAGCGGGGCCCTGGCAGGTGTGGGGGTGGCCAGGCACTGGCTCCCGGCTCCTGCTCTGCTCCTGCTCTGCGTCCGCCCGTGCACAGCGCCAGGGGGAGGAGCTGAAAGAATCTGTGCACAAAAGCAGCAGAGAAACGAAGATCAGCAGAGAAGAGACCTGTGTTTAGGATAAGATCAGGGACAAGGCTAACAGGTCCTCCTGTGGGCTGTGCCCTTAGATATAAGTGCACAAATGAAGCTGCAGCCCTGGCCGGTGTGGCTCAGTGGATGGAGCGTCGGCCTGCGAACTGAAAGGTCCCAGGTTCGATTCCAGTCAAGGGCACATGCCCAGGTTGTGGGCTCGATCCCCAGTGGGGTGTGCAGGAAGGAGGCAGCCGATCCATGATTCTCATCATGGATGTTCCTCTCTCTCTCCCTCTTCCTTCCTCTTTGAAATCAATAAAAATATATTAGTAAGAAAAAAAATGAAGCTGCAGAGTGGACCCGGAGCTTCCTGGTGAGCAGAGCAGGAAAAGCACATTTATTAGTCTCTTATGGGAATGGAGAAGCTACACTTCCTTCTTTAAAAAAAAAAAATATATATATTTTACTGATGAGAGAGGAAGGGAGAGAGAGGGAGAGAGAGAAACATCCATGATGAGAGAGAATCATGGATCGGCTGCCTCCTGCACGACCCACACTGGGGATGGAGCCTGCACCCCGGCCTGTGCCCTTGACCAGGGATGGAACCCTGACCTCCCGGTTCATAGGCCGACGCTCAACCACTGAGCCACGCCGGCCGGGCCAGTTTCTTTAGGAACTAACTGTTCCTGGTGTGACTGCATATCTTGCACGAGCGGGAGTCAGGAGCGTGCAGGTCAGGGTGACAGGAAGTCGCTGCCACCGTGGTGACCGTATCTCCGGGGGCGCGGCGGCTGGTGCTTCGGGGGGGGGGATGCGACAGGTGTGAACTCTGACCTTGGTTTAATGTGGCTCCTGTTCTTTTCAGTACAGCATCCTCTTCAAGCAAGAGCAAGGTGAGCCGCCTGCCCGGCCACTCAGATGCAGCCGGGAAAACGGGTCGTCTCTGGTTCCTTTAGGAATTGTTGTCGTGCCGACCAGACATGCCGTCCCCAGTTTACTCCCTGCAGGGAAGTCAGCAGAGGCGGCCGGACACAGACACTGAAAAGCAAATAACAGCAAGGCAGACAAAGGAGGCAGATAGCAGCCCGGAGGGCTTCCCCGCTGCCGGGGTGGCCCCCACGAGGGGGTGGCCCCCAGAGGCCGCTGCACACGGGGCCGAGGGGGACTCCCGTTAACAGGGGGGTCGGCTTTGAGTCCAGCTCTGCCCCTTCTTAGCTTTGGAGTTCCAGGGAGCTACTTGTCTCTCTCTCTCTCTTTTTAAAAAAAATATTTTAAAAATTGATTGGAGAGAGAGAGAGGGAGAGGGAGGAAGGGAGGGTAGAGAAGCCTCCACTGGCTGCCTCCTGCACGTCCCTACGCAGGACGAGTCCTCAGTCCAGGAATCGGTCCAGTGACCTGGTTCATGGGCCGACACGCACCCCCTGAGCCCCCCCGCCCCCCGGCCGGCACTGCAGGCTCCTCTGGGCCTCTGACTCCTTGTCTGTAACATGAGGTGCCGCTCACAGCGCCTGCTCCGTAGGGTTGTGGTGGCGACGAATGGAGGTGACACTCCAGGGGTTAATGCAGAGCACACGTGCGGCCCAGGCAGCTCGAGGGGCCGCATCAGGCACGCGCTCTGGGGCCTCGCTGTTGGCAGTAA